GTGCCGTTGAGTCGTTTCCAACTCATAGCGACTCCATGCACAGCAGAACGAAACACTGCCCGATCCCGCACCAGCCCCACAATCCCTGCTATACTTGAGCCCATCATCGCAGCTGCCGTGTCAATCCATCTCGTTGAAGGCCTCCCCCTCTTTCATCAACCCTCCACCTTACCAAGCATGACATCCTTCTCCAGGGAATGGTCCCTTCTTACAACATGACCAAAATAGGTGAGACGAAGTCTGGCCATTCTTGCTTCCAAGGAGCATTCTGGCTGCACTTCCTCCAGTATGACTCCTTAGGGATGTCATAAAGCTCTATCAAACTCCCTGACTTGCCCATCTAGGATTAAATGAAAGGAAAATTAGCTTTGAGCCTGTGTTATTAAGGTTTTGTGTCAACTTGGTTAGGCCCTGATTCAAAGTGGTTTAGCAGTTATGATGTAGTAATTCCTCATGATGAGATCCAATATGAGCAGTCAATCAGTTGAAAGGGAGCTTCCTTTGGGGTGTGGCCTGCTTCCAATATATATGGAAAACCTCTGGCAAAGTTCTGGCTTTCTGCTGGATCTGGCTCTGGCTTATTATCATCTCTGGTTGCTGGACTTGAGCCAGCGGCCTGTCCTATTGTGTGTCCATCTTGGGATTGCTGCCTATGCAGCTTGTGAACCCACAGCCTGCTCATCTTGGATTCCTCAGCCACCAAAGCCAGCACCCTGCTGATCTTGAGTTTGTGAGCTACTGCAACTACTAAGTCAGGAGAAGCCTTGAGCTTGACACCTAACTTGTGACTTGCCAGCCTTTACAACTATGTGTAACATCTTCTTGAGATAAATTTCTCTCTCTCTCTTAAGAAGCTCTGGTGGTGGCACAAAGGTTAAAGCATTTAGCTACTAACCAAACGGTGGTTTAAATCTAGCATATGCTCCATGCTCTGATTATTAATGGATGTTTGCAGCTGTTTCTCCTCAATTTGAGTCATGCTACATCAGCACATGGAGGTTCTGAAAGACTTTATTCATATCATAAAGGTTGGTTCTACTCTAATGAGGTAGCTCTTTCCCAGTCCTATTTTGAGTGCCTTCCATCCTAAGTGGCTTGTCTTCCTGCACTGTGTTGGACAATGTTTCCAAACTATTCATAAAGTTGTATGTATCAGACAGTGTTTCTCTGCTATTCATAAGATTTTCCCTGGCCAATTTTTGAGAAGTGGATGGTCTCCTCCTTCTTCCTAGTCTGTCTTACTCCGTAAGCTGTGTTGAAACCTGTGTAACTCTGCTGGCGTCTGAAACACCAGTGGCACAGCCTGATGCCTCAGAGTAACGTATAAGCCTCACAGGATGACAAACTGACAGACAAGTTTGTCTCCCTTAGCTGCTGGAAACCTCAGCACTCTCCTCTTACCTAATTTCTACCTGAAACCTCCTACTCTGTGATCCCTGGCCGCTCCTGGTCCCTCCCTTTCCTGGCTCTAGGGACCTTGGGGCCTAGCCTTGCCTCCCGCCCCTTTTTACCTGGATATCCTGCTGCTCCTGAGGTCCCTGAGGCCACTCCTGTTCCCTCCCTTTCCTGGCTCTGCTGTTATGTGCCATTGAGTCGACCCAACTCATAGCGACCCCTCCTTGGGTTTCCGAGGCAGTATCACTACGGAAGTAGATTGCCCTATCTTCCTTCCGAGGAGTGGCTAGTGGGTTTAAACCGCCAGCCCTCTGGTTAACAGTCAAGTGCCTTAGCCACTGTGGTGTAGTAAATTACTTAGTGTGGCTTTTCTACCCATAAGTCTTTGTAAACTCCCAGGTGGGATTTTCTATGGGCAACTGAGGAGCTCCTGATTGCTGAAGTTGTCCACCTGGAGTATTTCTGTTGGGAGTGGCACAAAACA